CCACTTACTAAGGAGGCACACCTGCGGGCTTGCTCCCGAGCCGGGCTGTGTGCATCTATAGACACACACACAGCGTGGCTTGGCCCTGCCCCTCCTCACAGGATTTGATTGGCAGCAGCGGGAGCCAATTGGTTCAGTTTCTGTCTCTGAGCCACTTTGGAAAGAGAGAGGTAGACTGTTGGATCGAGATAGGCTTAGGTAAGTATGGAGGGAGGGGGGTGATGATGAGGGGGGGGGGGGTGGTGGTGATGGGGGGGGAGGGGGGGGGGGAGGGGGGTGATGAGGGGGGGGGGGGGGGGGGGGGGTGTCACAACTACTGGGGACATTTTTTACCTTAATGCTGGTACCTTAAAACCTTTAAATAAACATGCTTGGGGGGGGGGGGACCATACCATACATGCCCCCAACATAGGAGGTACCTTGCCAGATATGATGTTAGTTGAAATCTACATTAATAATTACACTTTTTCTGATTCACAAAGTTCTTTTTTTTTTTTTTTTTTTACTAGGTGCACTAAATACGAGTCTAAGCCCCCCGTCGGCCATCATGCAGCCCCTTGGTACCTGCCATGCGACCCCGGCACCAGTCATGCAGCGACCTCTAGCAGTCGTTTGTAACATTTTCTGCAGTCTAGATTTGCGTTCTCTCCAACACGGGGCGGCGGGGGGGGGGGGGGGACCAGCAACTCGTCATTTGATGGCCCCTTCCTTTTCTGAATGAAAACAGTGAGTGATCGGTACCAAGCCACTTCCTTAATGGAGAAGCTATGAAACAGGTTCCACATTACAGAACAAGTCCAGCTGAATGTGACCAACGACCGCTAGATGCACCACGACCTGCACACGGGAGCGCCTTCACAGGGCCACATCGCGGGTCTCACTATGTCCACAGACCGTCTCGCCCACGGAACACCACGTGCCGTCCTTGTCAGCAGCCACAGCCGAGGCCCCCGTACCTCTGGCCTAACCCCCCCGGTCACATCACGCCCGACTTTGAAATCGTTCGTTATAGTGAAGTCACACGATTTCATAGTCGGGTGAGATGCCGAAATTCAGGCACGGTTTGCAGGACATCCGACACAGAGGACTATGCAAATCGCACCAAAAGTAGCGCAGGCGCTGCATTAGAAATCAGTGCGGCTCCAACCAAGTCTGAACCGCGCCAACATGGCCGCTGTAATGCAGACAATAGTGTGCGACTTGGCGTCAATTTTCAAATCGCAAGTCGTGTTACCGGGGTGTAAGCAAAGGAAGACCTGCACCTTCCGTGGATCAGGCACCAGACTCTCTCTAAGCCCAGCAGAGCCTCAACTAACCACACCGGACCATACAATGGGGGGGGGGGGGGGGCACTGTATCATGTGATACTAAAGTGCTTGTAAAGGCTGAAGATTTGTCACCATTCTATGCAGGTAACCCCCCCCCCCCCCCAATACCTGAGCCTGAACTTGGTCCAGCAATGTGCACTGGAGCCCTGGATCTCCCAGGTCTCTCCCCCTCCTCATTGGCTGAGACACAGCAACAGGAGTCATTGGCTCCCGCTGCTGTCAATCACAGCCTATGAAGAGGAAGAAGGGGGCGGGGCTGAGCCATGCTCTGCTGTGTCTTTTAGGCACAGAAATCGGGGCTCAGGAGTGACCAGATACCAGTGTTCCATAGCAAGCATAATGCGATGGGGACACTGCTCAGGGGAGAGGAGCCAGATGTGGGTACAAAATTCTGTAAGGGACATTCTTCCCACTGACCCCCAATGTAAGGGACATTCTTCCCACTGACCCCCAATGTAAGGGACATTCTACCCACTGACCCCCCAATGTAAGGGACATTCTTCCCACTGACCCCCAATGTAAGGGACATTCTTCTCACTGACCCCCAATGTAAGGGACATTCTTCTTCCCACTGACCTCCAATGTAAGGGACATTCTTCCCACTGACCCCCAATGTAAGGGACATTCTTCCCACTGACCCCCAATGTAAGGGGACATTCTTAAGGGACATTCCCACTGACCCCCAATGTAAGGGACATTCTTCCCACTGACCCCCAATGTAAGGGACATTCTTCCCACTGACCCCCAATGTAAGGGACATTCTTCCACTGACCCCCAATGTAAGGGACATTCTTCCCACTGACCCCAATGTAAGGGACATTCTTCCCACTGACCCCCCCAATGTAAGGGACATTCTTCCCACTGACCCCCAATGTAAGGGACATTCTTCCCACTGACCCCTAATGTAAGGACATTCTTCCCACTGACCCCCAATGTAAAGGGACATTCTTCCCACTGACCCCCAATGTAAGGGACATTCTCCCCACTGACCACCAATGTAAGGGACATTCTTCCCACTGACCACCAATGTAAGGGACATCTTCCCACTGACCCCCAATGTAAGGGACATTCTTCCCACTGACCCCCCAATGTAAGGGACATTCTTCCCACTGACCACCCAATGTAAGGGACATTCTTCCCACTGACCCCCAATGTAAGGGACATTCTTCCCACTGACCCCCAATGTAAGGGACATTCTTCCCACTGACCCCCCCAATGTAAGGGACATTCTTCCCACCGGACCCCACTGACCCCCAATGTAAGGGACATTCTTCCCACTGACCCCCAATGTAAGGGACATTCTTCCCACTGACCCCCAATGTAAGGGACATTCTTCCCACTGACCCCCAATGTAAGGGACATTCTTCCCACTGACCCCAATGTAAGGGACATTCTTCCCACTGACCCAATGTAAGGGACATTCTTCCCACTGACCCCCAATGTAAGGGACATTCTTCCCACTGACCCCCAATGTAAGGGACATTCTTCCCACTGACCCCCAATGTAAGGGACATTCTTCCCACTGACCCCAATGTAAGGGACATTCTTCCCACTGACCCCCAATGTAAGGGACATTCTTCCCACTGACCCCCAATGTAAGGGACATTCTTCCCCACTGACCACCAATGTAAGGGACATTCTTCCCACTGACCCCCAATGTAAGGGACATTCTTCCCACTGACCCCAATGTAAGGGACATTCTTCCCACTGACCCCCAATGTAAGGGACATTCTTCCCACTGACCCCCAATGTAAGGGACATTCTTCCCACTGACCCCAATGTAAGGGACATTCTCCCACTGACCACCAATGTAAGGGACATTCTTCCCACTGACCCCCAATGTAAGGGACATTCTTCCCACTGACCCCAATGTAAGGGACATTCTTCCCACTGACCCCCAATGTAAGGGACATTCTTCCCACTGACCCCAATGTAAGGGACATTCTTCCCACTGACCACCCCAATGTAAGGGACATTCTTCCCACTGACCACCCCAATGTAAGGGACATTCTTCCCACTGACCACCAATGTAAGGGACATTCTTCCCACTGACCCCCCAATGTAAGGGACATTCTTCCCACTGACCCACTGACCCCAATGTAAGGGACATTCTTCCCACTGACCCCCAATGTAAGGGACATTCTTCCCACTGACCATTCTTCCCACCAATGTAAGGGACATTCTTCCCACTGACCCCAATGTAAGGGACATTCTTCCCACTGATCATCCAATGTAAGGGACATTCTTCCCACTGACCACCAATGTAAGGGACATTCTTCCCACTGATCACCAAATGTAAGGGACATTCTTCCCACTGACCCAGATGTGAGGGACCATGTCTAGGGACATTAAGGGACATTCCCACTGACCTACCAATGTAAGGGACATTCCCACTGACCCCAATGTAAGGGACATTCTTCCCACTGACCCCCAAATGTAAGGAGGACATTTTCCCACTGACCCCCAATGTAAGGGACATTCTTCCCACTGACATTAAGGGACTTCTTCCACTGACCACCAATGTAAGGGACATTCTTCCCACTGACCACCAATGTAAGGGACATTCTTCCCACACTGACTCCAATGTGGGACAGTACAGGTAAGGGACATTCTTCCCACTGATCACCCAATGTGACAGTTAGCATCCACTGACATCCCAATGTAAGGGACATTCTTCCCACTGACCCCCAATGTAAGGGACATTCTTCCCACTGACCCAATGTAAGGGACATTCTTCCCACTGACCACCAAGGGACAGTAGCATGTAAGGGACACTCCCACTGATCACCAATGTAAGGGACAGCCCACTGACAGTTACATTCATGTGACTCGGAGTAGGGACATTCTTCCAAAACTGTAAGGACAGAACTGGCACCATGTAAGGGACATTCTTCCCACCAGTCCAGTGACATTCTTCCCCCGATGACAGAGTAGGACATTCTTCCCACTGACCAGCTGTCTGTAAGTGACATCTTCACTGACCAGTGGGGAGTTAGCAGTATGTTCCAAGTTGGCATTATGATTTGTTTACTGTTTGAAGGTCATCAGTTAGCAGAGCTGAGGAAGGCTGCTCAGTGAACACTAATTGACTTGTTTGGCTGACAGTTTATAGTTTTGACTCGCCAGTCTTTAGGTAGGAGTGACCTGAGCAGAGCAAGTGTGACAGTCGCAGTATGACTCGGACAGCTAGACAGCAGTGTGACTCGGAGTCGACAGTGACAGTTAGCAGTGTGACTCGGAGTAGCCAGTGACAATTAGCAGTGTGACTCGGAGTCGCAGTGGCAGTTAGCAGTGTGACTCCGAGTTGGCAGTGGCAGTTAGCAGTATGACTCCAAGTTGGCAGTGACAGTTAGCAGTGTGACTCGGAGTAGCCAGTGACAGTTGGCAGTGTGACTCGGAGTCGGCAGTGGCAGTTAGCAGCTCGGAGTAGGCAGTGGCAGTTAGCAGTGTGACTCGGAGTTGGCAGTGGCAGTTAGCAGTATGACTCCAAGTTGGCAGTGACAGTTAGCAGTGTGACTCGGAGTAGCCAGTGACAGTTGGCAGTGTGACTCGGAGTAGGCAGTGGCAGTTAGCAGTGTGACTCGGAGTTGGCAGTGGCAGTTAGCAGTATGACTCCAAGTCGGCAGTGACAGTTAGCAGTGTGACTCATAATAATCATGAAGCAGATAATACCCGACTGTCCAGCTCTGGTGGGAACTTGGTCTGGAACTGACACATGGTTCCTTCGCTGTAGTCCCTCTGTATGAAGACCTTGGTGGCCAGGGAGGCGCTCCTCCTCATCTCCTGCAGGTTGTGCATCTGCAAAATAAAAAGAAGAAAGAAACAGAAGTTGGATTTTGAATGAAGACACCAGGAGCGGACAATGGCGCTCGGCATGGCGGTGTGAACGAGGCTTCCTTAATCCGCCGCGCTCCTTCCTGAAACAAAAGCCGAGGCAGGAGCAGCGGGAAGATCTCAGCGGGTTTCAGCTCGCCTGAAGGATCCGGGAGAGGATGTATTATGAGGGCAGGAAGCCCAGCTGATAAAAGGTGTTAAAATACAGTAAATATAACCCGTTTCTATATAAATAATGTACAGCGAGCAATTAAAGCGCCTCCTGTTGATATCTGGACGCCTGCTGGTTTGGAGAAGAATTAAGTGGCTTGTCTCCAGCGGCGTTATTCGGATCTCGTCTTCGACATTCTTCCTTAATTTAATTAGATTTTTCAAAGAAACAGCCAGCGGTGCCGATGGGGGGAATAAAAAGATTGCATTTTTTATGTTACTTACATAGTACTTATGATTTATTTATTCAGGTCATGCCTCAAAATGCTCAGCATCCTGTCGGCTCGAACAAGGAAACACTATGAAACGGTTCGAGTCCTACCCTGGCCTGTAATGGGGGCTGGGGAGGAGACTGGAGACACTGGGGAGGTCGGGAGCTACTAGGATTGTCAAGGGCTTCACTTAATTGGATTTTTCCGGAAGGAAACAATTTGATGCAAGTAGAAAAAAACCCACCGATGTCTGGTCAGAGCTACTTAGCTTTACCAGCATAGTACGGAGGTCTGCTCTTAGCAACAATGTAACCCCTGGCCTACCGGTCTATCAATGTACGTTTATATAAACAGCATGGCGGCCAAGGGGTTAAATCGAGTTCAAGGCTGCTGCTTGTCAAGGGCTTCACTTAATTGGATTTTCCAAAAGGTAACGATTTGATACAAGAAGAAAAAACCACCGATATGTGGTTGTTGCCATTTGGTTTTACCACCAATGGAGGGACGGCTGGTCTAGCAACGATGTAACGACTGGTCTACCGAGGTACGTTTATAAACAGCATGGCGGCCAAGGGGTTAAATCGAGTTCAAGGCTGCTGCTTGTCAAGGGCTTCACTTAATTGGATTTTCCAAAAGGTAACAATTTGATACAAGAAGCAAAACCCACCGATGTGTGGCTGTTGCCATTTGGTTTTACCAGCATTAGAGGGACAGCTGGTCTTGGAGACAACTAGCGACTGGTCTACCAAGGTACGTTGGCCTTAGCAGCAACGTAACCCCTGGCCTACTAGTCTATCAAAGTACCAAGGCTGCTGCTTGTCAAGGGCTTCACCCAATTAGATTTTCCAAAAGAAAACGATTTGATACAAGAAGCAAAACCCACCAATGTGTGGCTGTTGCCATTTGGTTTTACCAACATTGGAGGGACGGCTGGTCTTAGCAACAACATAATCCCTGGCCTACTAGTCTATCAAAGTACGTTATAAGCAGCATGGTGGCCAAGGGTTACATCAAGTTCAAGGCTGTGCTTGTCAAGCGCTTCACCTAATTAGATTTTCCAAAAGGAAACAATTTGATACAATAAGCAAAACCCACCGATATGTGGCTGTTGCCATTTGGTTTTACCAGCAATGGAGGAACGGCTGGTCTACCGAGGTACGTTTATAAACAGCATGGTGGCCAAGGGGTTACATCAAGTTCAAGGCTGCTGCTTGTCAAGGGCTTCACTTAATTGGATTTTCCGAAGGAAAAATTTTATATAAGCAGAATAACCCACCGATATGTGGTTGGTGCCATATGGTTTTACCAGCATTTGAGGGATGGCTGGTCTTAGCGACAAGGTAACGACTGGTCTACCAAGGTACGTTTATAAACAGCATGGCGGCCAAGGGGTTACATCAAGTTCAAGGCTGCTGCTTCTCAAGCGCTTCACCTAATTTGGATTTTCCAAAAGCAAAACAATTTGATACAAGAAGCAAAACCCACCGATATGTGGTTGTCCCCATTTGGTTTTACTGGCATAGTAGTGACGGCTGGTCTTGGCACAAACCCCTGGCCTAATAGTCTATCAAAGTACGTTATAAGCACTAGCGACTGGTCTACCAAAGTACGTTGGTCTTAGCAGCAACGTAACCCCTGGCCTACTAGTCTATCAAAGTACCAAGGCTGCTGCTTGTCAAGGGCTTCATCTAATTAGATTTTCCAAAAGGAAAGTATTTGACACAAGCAGTAAAAACCTCCGATATGTGGTTGTTGCCATTTGGTTTTACCAGCATTGGAGGGACGGCTGGTCTTAGAGACAACATAACCCCCCTATCTATCAAAGTACATTTATAAACAGCATGGCGGCCAAGGGGTTAAATAGAGTTCAAGGCTGCTGCTTGTCAAGGGATTCACATAATTAGGTTTTCCAAAAGGAAACTATTTGATACAAGAAGCAAAACCCACCGATATGTGTTACCAGCAATGGAGGAACGGCTGGTCTACCAAGGTACGTTTATAAACAGCATGGTGGCAAAGGGGTTAAATAGAGTTCAAGGCTGCTGCTTGTCAAGGGATTCACCTAATTAGGTTTTCCAAAAGGAAACTATTTTTGATACAAGAAGCAAACCACCGATATGTGGTTGGTTGCCATTTGGTTTTACCAGCATAGCAGTGATGGCTGGTCTTGGCAACAACTAACGAACTGGTCTACCAAGGTACGTTTATAAACAGCATGGTGGCCAAGGGGTTACACATCAAGTTCAAGGCTGCTGCTTGTCAAGGTCTTTACTTAATTAGATTTTTCAAAAAAGGAAATTATTTGATACAAGCAGAAAAACCCACCGATATGTGGTTGTTGCCATTTGGTTTTACCAGAATTGGAGGAACAGCTGGTCTTAGCAACAACTAACGACTGGTCTACCAAGGTACATTTATAAACAGCATGGTGGCTAAGTGGTTACATCAAGCTCAGGACTGATGCTGCGAACTTGGTGGTAGTTTTAACAGCCAGTGTAGAGCTTTCCAATAAAAGTGCTCCAGGAAGTCCTAGAACTGCTTGATCACATTTACGGGGACCTCAAACTGCGCCCCCTGGCGGCACTCATGGTGGGAGCCTGTGGACCGCAAGATAGTGAGAGCAGGAGGAACTCAGGGGACATCAGTTCCTCAATACTTTCCCCGCGTCAATGACCCCATGTGTTGCATCACTTCCAGGTCACAGGTTTAAAACTGCATGTTGAGTTAAAATTGCTGCATTGCAATGTGTGTTCACTTGAGTGGCACCATATCTTCTTGTGGGGAAGGCAATCCGGTTGTAGGTGGGTCACCTTTATGAGGCCCTCACAGTGTGCTCCCTGGTGCCACCCACATTGGGTGTTCGGTACTGCGGGAACCTGTGACTCGGCATTAAACCCAGGAAGTATTGGGGAACAGAACTCAGGGAACATCCGTTCCCCAATACCTCCAGCATCTAATGACCCCGCGTGTTGCGTCACCTCCAGGTCCCAGCTTTGGCAGAGTTTAAGGTCTCATGCACACTAGAAATGCTGGGAAAAAAATGACAAATATTTTAGCGTATTTTGCCGGCATTCAGCAGTGTTTTTCCTAGTGTGTAAGCTATGTCCTAGTAGCTTCAGCATTAAGGAGCGGGGCCGCCATTGTTAAGGAAAGGGCCGGGAAGCTGGCGCGCCGCATCCTTAACAATGGATGAGTTATCAGCTGCCAGCGGGATTCCCCACTGACAGCTGAAGGTGAAAAAAAAAAAAATAAATGCCAGCAATAAAAAAAATGTGAAAAAAACGGCATGGGAGTCCCCCCATCCCAATCCATACCAAGCCCTTCGGGTCTGGTATGGATTTTAAGGGAAACCCATGCCAAAACAAAAACAGTGTGCACCCCCCCCCCCCCCCACAAATCCATACCAGACCCTTATCTGAGCATGCAGCCTGGCAGGTCAGGAAAGGGGGAGGGGGGCAGGCAAGCACCCCCCCCCCCTCCCCGAGTCATACCAGGCCACATGCCTTCAGCATGGTGGTCCCCTCAAAGCACCTTGTCCCCCACAGAAGCAACTTGGCCGGTGGTTGTGGGGGTCTGTGGGTGAATCTGGAAGTCCCCTTTAACAAGGAAGCCCCCAGATCCCGTCCCCCATATGAATGAGTATGGGGTACACAATACCCCTACTCATTCACCAAAAAAAAGTGTAAAAAGTAAATAACACATGTTTTTTGACAAGTCCTTATTAAAGAATCAAAAATGTAAAAAAAAGCCCCCCCAGTGTAGATCCACCATCAATCACGACACCCACTGCCACCGCCGACCCGCAAAAAAAAAAAAAAAACCCGATCCCTACGAAGGCTCCCACCACCTGCCAGCTCCGCTGCCTTAGCTCTTAAGTAACTAAGGGGCGAGGCCGTCCGGTGACGTCACTTGGAGACCCAGCCCCTTTTGACGTCACAGACCCGCCACGTCCCTAAAAAGTGGCTGCCAAAACGCCCTGTGTGCACGAGGCCTAAAAGTCTGCACGTCGAGTTAAAATTGCTGCATCTCAGCTGCGCCAACGTGTGTCCATTTGCGTGGCATCATATCTGCTTCTAGGTGGGCAATCAGGAGGGAGTGAAAATGTAGAACAACTGCCTTTTTTTACTGCCCACTGGCTGCCTTTGTGAAAGCAGCCTTAAGGGCCACATACACTTTAAAGTAGAAGTAAAAAGTTTCTCAAATTCCCTGTCGTCTTGCCTTGAACCTTGTAGGCTCACGTAGCCAGCGTTGGTATGCCGCCATCGGTGAAGTCACCTTCAGTAGGATGTAAGCGGCCATGATTCAGAGGTGGGTTTAGGTAGAGAAGACATCGTAGGAGGTTCTCGATATCGTCATACTCAATGTAGTAGCCATGGCACATTCGTACTATTCCCAACCTCCTGTTTTTGGCAGAACCCCCAGACAGAGACGCTAATTAGGAACTTGTGTTGAGCAGCACAGAGGATTCCAATGCCAAATCTGACAAAGTGAGCACATGGTCAGACTGGAGAGGATCCTAGAAAACGGGCGAGGATGGAGCGAAC